AAATACTAAATTTACGGGGAAGAAAAAAAAAAAAAAAAAAAAAAAAAAAACAAAAAAAGGAAAAGAAAAAGGAAAAAAAAAAGATAAAGGAAACTTGTCCTTCGGAATTTACAATTATTTATGATTATTTAAGTCTTTCATGGAATTTTTCGTATGATTCGCAGTGGCTCTATCCGTTGGTGAAGTGTATAGCAATGTATTTACTGATTAGAGAAATGATTATTAAAATGGAGTGAAACTAATACGGCGTTTGTATGGCTTATTAGGCGTTCACATGCCTTTTCGACGTCTTTCTCAGGCACTGTAATGGTATATATATATACACAAACATTTATTTGTGTGTGTATATATATACATAAACACACACATATGTAAATTATTTTCATTTCATTTTGTCATACTTTTTTTTGTATCATCTCGCCACACCGGTACACACGTGCGTCTATTTTTCCTCGAAATTACACGACACTCACACACATATACACACACGGACACACATACAGAGAAATAGAAAAAGCAAAAGAAAGTACGAGGAAAAGACGATGCAGCGTCGCGTTTGCACACTCGTTCGCCAGGATTTTCAGATGCACAAACGAAAGAAGTGATTCGGTTTTCAGAATCATTTGTATTTAGAAAGTCCGTTTGTAATTCGTAGCAGTAATTCATAGTAATTTCTCTCGGTCTTTTATCTGTGCTATGTATCTCGCCATAGAACATTCTCTTTACTTCCAAGTAAGCTGGTGTGTAGTAGCTTTAATACGTTCTTATTAGCATCTTTGAACGCGTCTCCGGGCGCGTATTCTGTTTTTTTTTTTTTTAAGACTTGGTTGAACGGCGACCAAAAAGGCTGGAATGGAAAAGTGAAGGAAAATCGGAAACGAGAAAAAAGGGAAAAAGGGGAAATTAAAGAGAGAGAAAAGAGTGTATGGAAACGGTAATCATAGATTTTTGCGCTCTCGTAGATTACAGTGATCGAGGTAAAGTCGTATTCACAGATCTCACATTATTACTTTTATACATGTAACATAGGTTTATCGATTAATTATATGTTATTATTGATCGTATTCGCACAACTCTATTATGTATATGGTTTTACTAACCGATTGTTTAACCGACCGAAAGGATAGTTTTAATAATCATTTTTTATTTTTTTGCAACTGTTGTTTGTCTCTCCTTATGTTTATTACTTATGCACTCTGCGTCTTACCGCATCTTCTACTTCAATAAGTCAATCAGGCCAATTTATCTCTTCTTGTTACACACGCTCGCTACTGTTCAAAACTTTGGGATCGCTTGTCCGACGAGAGAGAAAGAGAGAGAGAGAAAGAGTGAGAGAGAGAGAGAGGGAGAGAGAAAGAATTAGAATCGTATATTAACCCTCTATGGGCCCGCGTAACTTTCAAGTTACATGCCGATGTATGGGTATTTTATTAAATACTGCATTTAACGTTATCGTCTTGATCACTCCAGTTCGCGATTTTTCTTTCGATATATTTATAATTATTTTTACAATACCTCCCGTGGGTCAAATATTTGTTGATTTTGTTACATACAATTCTTATAGCCAAGAAAAATATATATTCGGCCCATAGAGGGTTAAATTATGCCAGCGAAGATAATCTTGTACGTCTCGAGTTGGTAGATGGTCAGTTACAGTAAAACGACGAGATTCGGATTGTTAATGTATGTTCGTTTAAAATATTCGCTTGTTTTGTACACCCTACGTCGACGCAAGTCGTCCTCCTTGCAAACGAGGCTTCTTCTGCGTATTTTTGTAATTTCGCGTTTTCTTTTTCAACAGTCTTTCTTCACAGAGCCTTCGTACACGTTTGACGTCGTTTCGTCGTACCTAATATATTCATGTCGTCGATTTCTTCACCCTCGTGTAGCCTCCTATCGGTTCTCGAATAAGAATACCACGAACAACGATCTAACCTTCCATCGCTGATAATTGTAAGTAAAACGCATTGCTACAGTGTCACAGTCTTATGGTGCAATAACAGTAAGATAATTCCAAATTGTAGAATCTCGCAGTCCGTGAAATCGAGCGAAATATGACAGCTACTCAGGGTGCACGAGGGAGGAAACGGAAGTTAGGAAACGACGAGACATGACCACCTGTAAAAACGAAAACAGCGAACACGACGATATGTCGAAGGAGATGCAATAAATTTGCCAAAGACGAAAGATACGTAATCTCGAGGGATTTTTATTTCATTCTACTTCGTGAACCACGAATTTTGAGAAGCGATCCCAAACTTTTGAGCGGTGTGCTTCGTGCCTTCCACGCTTAATCGCGCATCCCTCGAATAATGATCAAACACGAGCATTGTGCTATTCTCCAAATTGTTTCTCGCTGATTATCTCCATCTTCGCGATTCAAACCTCGAAGAGGTCGCTTAATTTCCAACCCTTAATTACTCTCGAACTTTCTCCCCGCGTGTCTTCGTTCTTTCATCCCCTCCTTCCTTGTGCGTCAGCGTCTTGTGGGAAGAAGTGGAGGGAAAAAGAGAGGAAAGAAAAGGGAAACGTAAATAATGCAAAGGAGTCGTTATCTATGATCAAACCCGCGTCAACCGCGATCGGTATCCGTCGTTCCACGACCTATCGACGATTTCTCGGCGACGATGCAATTGGTAACGATCGAATTGGCAGCTTTCGCGAGCCGTTGAGACACGATGAGAATGTCAGGCCCGTTTCGTATCGTGAAACGTACGTAAGTATACGACACGATCGTGGGACAACTCCAAAAGCAAGCAGTGACGAGCGGTGCCATTCGTTGCCAAAGCGAGTGTCCACTCCGTTTAATTTCCATTATGGTCAGTGGAGGCGGCTAGCAACGTTTGTTAAGCGAAGAATCAACTGGCCGGTTCGTTGAATGCAATATTTCGGGGTATAACATAAGTTCTCGACTAACGTTCACCGTGTTTGCGATTCTTCCGAGACGCAATCCCGATGTTCGAAACGGAGCAGTTTCTTTGTCAGAGTAAGAACAGTCGTGTGATAGAACTTCGGTGATTTAATTGTAAGAAGAAGGAGATTAATCGCGAGGGAATTCGAGAGGAATCGAAGATTACGCGAGGAGACGACTGAAAGCAATTTTAAAATACCATTGAAATTACCAAAATACCATCGTATTATCGATTATCAAACATTTGGGAAACCTCGAATTTCATCGTCCGTATTTTCTACCAAACTTCTACCAAAACGAAAAATGTATATTCGATTTAATGAATTTGCAATGTCTTCTTCGCATAATCTTTAACAAAGAGAATGGAATGCTCATGGTTGTCACGACTATTCTTGCTCCGTCATCAAGATCCGTAACCAGTGTTTGAAAGATACCTTTTCTCGTAACGCGTAGGGTCGCTTAGTTTTTGCGGAACACGGAGATAATTTTGAGCGATACACCTTCCCACCTTCGGATAATCTCTCATGGAGACAAGGAAATAGCAATATTTTTGCTACTCGTTCATAATACTATATCGTCGATGTTATCTAATGTGTTAATGACGATGCCAACGTACGCATTCGCAGTAATGGTTGATTAAAGCTATACAGAACTTATCGTTATCGTGCGATCGAAACGATCGAAGCTAGTTTTACACAAGATACCCAACAACGATGCTATTACGTTAACGGAGAATATATTCGATTCGATTCCTCCATCTCCATCGATTCGTATACGTATTTCCTTTCGTTCTCTTAATTTCTCCTTAATTTCGGACAATTCTCATCTAGTCTCCACGAAACATTTCTCGAACCTCGTTGTTTAAGTTTAGGGATAAGTGAAACCGTGTGCGAATTTTTTTAATGGATATCGAAATTGCTGGTAGTCGTGTAAAGACGAAAAAGAGAAGAAAGAAAAGAAAAAAAGAAACGAAAGAAAAAGAAACTGCGATATACCATGTTATTAATCATACGATATAGATGTATTAAGGTACAAACTTGAACTTTTGCAATATCTTCGTAACAAATTTCGTGGCACTATGAGCGGGATCGATATCCAACTATCGTTAATGTAGCTCAACGACGTAGCTCTGTGTTTAAATGTTTCAGCATGAACGGGAACGAAAAACGATAGTCGTTCCTGATTTTCCGCGAAGTACCGTCGATATCGTACTTATCGTCAAAATGGCGGCCGCCGCCGCGCCAAAATGGCCGCCGGACCGCGCACGCCGGCTAGGGAAATAGTCTGTTTTTCGCGAACGTTCGGATTAATTTTGGATTAACGAAGACGAGTCACGAAATATATTCTCCAGTGTGCGCTTGATACATTGAAGTACGCTGTAATATTTTGAGAATTTGTAAGCGTTTGTAGTGTACACTAAATACGGGGTGGATGGGATGCGGTAACGGAAGTCGAGGAACATCCTATTCGATCGTCTGTCAGCCGATCGCGAAATAGTTGATACATAAATGCAATTATATATATGTATATGTGATGAACGAGCGAGAGGCAGGTGATGCACAATAACGGGTTAAAAGGCAGGAGGAGAGAAGAGAGGGAGAAAGAGGGCGAAGGGAAAGAAGAAACATATTTTTCTTTTAAGCGATTCTTAATCAGTAAGTCTTGGTCACGTGCAAGTGGAGACGCTTTATTCGGACTTTTCACGCAGTCGTCCAGAATAGAAAAAGAAAATGAAACAAAACGGGAAACTTTCCGATCACACCGGCTCGATGAAGCGACGAAACCAGGTTCGAGTTGCAGGGCTTTAAACTTAGGTACTGCGTCGGTAGATGTACTCTCGATAGCGTGTAATGTTAGACTAACATTAAGATGCTGAAACATATGAAACACGATTGTCATTAACTCTGCAGTAAGTCAGTCAGTGATATCTCGTAACAGTTCGCGACGGTTCGCAAATAGACTCGGCATCACCGGCGATACTGAGGAAAGGGAATGAAACTCGAGATCGTTCTCGTTGCAGTCCAATGTGTTCAGTTTCAGTTTTTGCAAAACGTCGGAAAAAGGGAGAAGAGTCGAAACCGGGGGAAAAAGAGGGAAAACAGAAAGAAAACGCATCACGACACGTGCTACACGCGTAAACCAGTCGAAATGTCAACCGAGCAACGATTCGTTGATCGCATCGTGTACTGCAGGGTTTACGGGGAATCGAGGTAGTCGTTAAAGAAGGAAATTAAACGCGGAAGAAATTGGTAAAAATAGATGAAAGTTAAGATTTATATCGGAGAGAGTCGGACGATGAAGAACGTAGCGAGGTGACGTTTTCAGGAGCACTTGTTTTCGAAATTTGGAAACGCGACTCGGTGGTATAAAGAGGAAACGAACGAAAGATCGGAGAAGTTGAAAATTTCTTGGAACCGTGTCTACGTTCCACGTACAATCGTGAGATCGAATTATTGGTGTCCGTAGAGGTATATATATTTTCTTATTGTATAACGATAATTAGCTCCGCTGCTTTGACACGTTAAGGCCTTAGTACATTAAAATCAGTTACGTTTCGCATCCGTAAATAACCGGGAAACGATTCTCAGTTTATCGATCAGTGGCAACGATCGGAGGCAGAAGACGATCACGTATCGCGAATTGTTCGGTGAGATGTCGCCGACGCGAACCGAAAATATCGGAGAATATAAGACGTTCCTCGTTTGAATTTTAATTCGAACTGATTTAAGGGAACTAGAGCCTTAAGCTAGTTGTAAAATTTCCTTAGGTACCTATTGTTTTAACATATGGATTGTCTATGTCTGAATGCTCGCATCATTAAATACACGGCGAAAAGGTGAGACGAGAAAGGAGAAATATGTTTTGTCTGGTCAATTTAAGAAATACCGAGTGTCTCCGCACTTTACTCTTTTTAAAAAAGATAAGAAAAATAAAAACATGAAAAAAGAAATGGGACAAGAGGCAAGCACGCGAACACGTGGCGTGCTTCTGTTAATATGTTTCGTGGATTAATTCAAAGAATCACAAAACGTCTTTCTAGCTAGTATAGTAACGGTAATTAAGAACTTGCTGATTCCACGTTTTCATGGCTCATGGCGACACAATAAAAAATAACAATGAACACTACACTATTACAAATATTTATTATAAATAAGATATAACAAATATAAAGGATAAATATATTATATTGAATTAATAATGATTGAACGAGATGAAATTTTTTGGTACAATAAAATGAAAAGATTAACGTTGTTCGGATTATTTCGTCCTGAAATTACACGTCCCTGAACTTTGTAATCTTAATTTCTTTTTTTTGCAAACCTTTTCATCTGTTCATTTATTTTACATTGTAGCAAAAAATTACTAGCAAAGAATTGATCATTTTGGACCCCTGTGTATGTTTCAGTATGTAAAAAGTATTAATATATATTAATCCTTTCCCTCTTTTTGTGAAAACTCGTAATTAATTAAAGCAGATATAGTAAAGTAAAGAATTGGAAAATAGAAATTTACTTATATAAGATTTTACGTAAAACTGTAATACTTCTCATTATATTTTGTAATAATTTATTTCCATAATTTTACTTAAGCCGTATTACCGAGATTAAAATTTACCGCCATAAAGATGTGTTCTGTTTTATCAACGGAGTACGTCGTATGTATCCAAAAATTCCTGTAATACCGACGACTCTCCTAGCTGAAACATTTCATATTTTATAAGTAATGAAAAATATTTTAGAGTATGACATATTCATTTTTAAGTAACTATTAACAAACGAAAAATAAATAATAGTATTTAACTATTAGAATTAACCATTAGAAATTACTGTTCGTGTAAATTTCTTCTCGGTCGTTTACTTTATCAACAAGCGATGTTCTTTTCGTTATTTTTATAAAAGATAATTACTATTTGCAAATTTGTACTAATTTTTCGAGACAATATTGGTTATATTACTTTTGTGTAAGCGAAAATATGGAAAATTCACGAATACGTTCAAAAAAATTCGACTCGATTGATCATTGGCCGATACGCAGCCATATGTAAAGTCGGGACGAGTCGCTTCTACTATTCCAGTCGTGCCAGAACCACCGAGCGGTGCGAACGTTTTTCCTCGTGCGTCGTCCTTCAACCGTCGTGTATACATACGCGCGTATCGGTGATTTTACGACCATACTAAGTCGCACGTTTTCGGTATAATCGGAGGTCGTGAATGTTTATAACCGATCTCGTCTACGAATCGGTCGTGGTTGGACGTTAAAGATTCTGTGTACAAGAGAATCGCGGTATCTGTGACACGTACGTGAACAACTAACGAGGCGACCGTGAACGTTTTCGCCTTTTTTCGTAGGGTGCGTGAACAAAGCATCGTGAACATATTTGAAATAATTTTGCCCGTTCAAGGAAGTGTTCCGGCATTCTTAAACCGGTACGTTACCGCCTCGGAAACGATTTCGATCGGCAACGTGAAGTGCACCGAAAGTGTTGGAACGAGCACAGGCGGCGAGAACGTGAGTAAACACGTTTTTTTCTTTCCTCGATTAACGCCGATAGTACAAAGTACAAGCTTCCTCCTATTTTCATTTCCGTTTGTTTTTCCTCTCTTTTCCCATACTATCGAGTATCTGCAAATGTTTTGTGTTTTCCACTTGCATCGGTTTTCCTCGTAAAATGTTCCATCGTTTCCTGCGTCTCGATAGGTTAGATTTCGTACGACGTGGAAAAACGCGGTTCCCATGACTGTGCGTGAGAAACGTGTTAATAAGTTTAATAGATCTGTCAACTATCACAGAACAGACATATTTCTGTTCATGCGAGAAGAATGTGCGTGCAGTTGCTAAATCGAGTGCGTGTTTCGATCGTTCCTAATAAGAAGCTCTCCATACTTTTATTAGGCATCAGCTGACAGTATTAGCACAGGGCTTTTTCAACGGTATTCGCTTGACGTTAGCCGCTGTGAAGTTAATTTCCTTCGCGTTCGAATCTCTCGTCACTTCGATAGTGTCGCGTCGGCGTGTTATTATTCCGAACGTGTAGTTCGCCTAATAGAATCGTAAGATTTATACGCTTCGTCTCATAAAGTATACTACACGGCCGATTTCAATCGGCACGTTTTATTTATTCCCCCTCCAAGGAGAGCTACGCTTTATACCGTGATCGCCGTACTCGTCCACGAACGCGAAAACGATGGAAATGGAACGTGGAATGAAATTAATTCGTTTCGAATTAGGGGAACAGACGAAATTGATGCGGCGTCATTTCTTTCGTTTCGCTGTGACAATAAGCGCATTCGCCATCAGTGTATCGACGTTCTTTTACTCTTCGACATATATTAACTTTTATAACAGTGGCTTGTAGCGTGTGTATGTTATTTGCATCGCGTTCGACGTAAAATCGTTCATGTAACTTCGCTCGGGAAAGGCCAGTGACATTGCCAGTACGATTTCATTGTACACCTTTCTCGTAAATTATTGGCGATAGATGAAGCGTGCATAAAGTGTGCATATTGTTACGTCAGCGATCCAAAGTTTCTATTAATAGTCTTATTTCGATGCAAAACGGATATATCGCATTATGGATCGTGTGCAGCATGGGTTCGAGACGCACACTCGGCAAATCCCGCAAAGGTTAATGACATCTCGCGCGGGTGATGAATCGGTGGAACTTCCTCTTTTTCGTCTTCGATTCGGTCGAGTCGGAATCGATATTGGAGAATATGGACGCGGTTCCGTATATTACATACATCGACGAACAGTAACCAGCCGCTATTTCGATCTACCTCCGATACAGTCGGTTAAAAAAGAGGGCACTGCGCTCTGATGATCCGCCATCCATTTTATGTTTGAATCGTAATTTATCAAATTGTATTTTTTTACCGCAGAATCCGTTAATGCTTTAGCAATTCACCTGATAACTCCGGGATATAACGCTTTATTTATTTTAATGTACTTTTAAAATTTTCGAGGAATTTATCGCTTGAAGGAATATCCAGGAGGGAATAATACTCTAAATGGAGTAATTATGAAATTTGTTGGCGCGTATATGTGCATATATAGGGTGATTAAGAAGTGACGGAACAGTGAAAATTAGTAGGAAACTACTGGAATAAAAGTGATTTCTTTCAAACGAGTAATTATTTATGTCAAAGATAATGTATTTCACGAGAAGTGGATTATTTGTGAAGCGTGCAGTGAAATTGGGAGCCTTAGTGAGGTTTAATGAAACGTTTTATTTTTTACTCTGTAGGGTGATAGCCTCTTTTAAGTCGGGTTCAACGACCTGTCAGGCAAGGTCACATAAAGCCATAAACACACAGTGAACGTATCTCGTGCATCATCCTTTGTCACAACGAGTACTCAAAATCTTCGGTTTTAATTTATCGTACAGGTTATCTGGAATATTCCGCCTCGTTTTATATTTAGGGCAACTTGAAAATATTCGATCTATGCGTGTGCTTCGGCTGCAATTTGAAGTGCCACGAAGGACTCGAATTCTCTCGAAACGTTCGAATTCCTTGCGCATATCGAATTTTCTGCGCTACTCGGCGCGTCACGTGATCCATTTACGCCGATTCGATAACTCGATTTCCTTCCGAATTTCAAATATTCCAACCGTTTCATTTCCAATTTCTTTGTTATGTCTTCACAGTCGGCCTTGTCTAATAGGTCTCCGAACTTCTTCCAAACACCTTCGTCGCTCAAAAATAACTCGTTCAAGAACTCGTCAGTAACCCTGAAACATCCTTCACGTCACTGTCTAATTTTCCGCCGTGAGATTATACAAATTTATTTTTCCTCTACACCCGACTTCTTTTATTGGCGAATTAAAAAATATCTCTTACCTCGTGTACCTTGGTCGCACGCGCGAAGTTACGTGTATTGCAAATATTTATATCGAGGCGGCATCGATGGGTATCGGTGTCGCATTAAATCGATCGTTCGCACGCGAAGCGTGAGATGTCGCTATCGAGGAAGGGAATAAAGGGGGGAAAAAAAGACACGAAGGAAGAATAAGCGACGCGTGTCGCCCATGGGAAACCTTGGGCGAACGAAAGATCGCGTAACGGTAACACGATACCCCGGTACGGGCTTTCGCAATATTATGAAAACTATATCCTCGTGAAACGGAATAGCGTCTTATTGTTGTGCAGTCAGAGCAACTTGAAAAGCGCGCGCGTGCGCGCGCCGCCGCGTGGCTCCCTCCGGGCTCCTAACCGGCTGCTCGAAAAGGAGAGGCCAAGGTGCACCGGCTTGAAATCCGTTTAATTATCGCATTATTTAACGCGTTGCCTCGCGTCACGAGATTTGCCGTGAAATTTTGATTCTTTCGTGTAGTCGTGAAATAGGTTTCTCGTTAATTCAGCACGCTTGGTTAGGTTAACTGTTTGATTCGATGGTGACATGAAACCATGTATAAGGCAAGTCGTAAATGCGTAATTGTAACCTATAATATTTTATAATTTCGAATAATTTATGCCATTGGTAGAACGAGTGATTATTTTTGTTTAATTTTAAAATGTTACGGGAAATATTTCGAAAGTGAGATTCGTAAATTATTTTTTACTTTTTTTTTTACTTTTTATAAATTTTTATTAATTTGAATAACGTATATGATTTAGGAAGGAAGAAAGGAACGAAGAGTATGAATTTTTAAGACTACGTTATGTCTTCTGAATACAGAAAAAGAGGAGGGAAACTATCGAGAGGCAATACGGACTGGAAAAAAAGCGGACGCGCAGATGTTTCCTTTATTTTCTTGTCGGATGTCCCAGTGATCGAACAATAATTGTCAATTGACTGGCAATACGATCTAATGAAACCGTACCGATGCATTGGCCAGCTTCGTTGATAACCTAAGCTCGTACGCAATTTATTTTATATATCTCTGCTATTCGATTTTTATCTCATAGTAAAGCTAGCCGTACCAATAACAATTTTTTGCATAATATTTCACATAAATTTTACATATTAGTTTAAATATCGAACAACCTAATTGATAATAGTGTGACAAAAATTTATTAATCCTTTTATTCGAATTATTTAAAACGCAAATATTCTATTTCAGCGTTTTCCGGTATATGAAGATAATTCGAGCAAGAAAGGAAATTTCAATGCAGGCTTTGGTGCAAAATTTTTAATTAATATAGTCATCGAGGATGCGTTCGATCGCCTAGTCTCCCACGACGAATCAATTTATAGAACGTCCATGAAACGTGATGTAATTTCGATATCGCTCGACGTAGGGAAAAAAAAAAAAAGACGAGAGAAAAGAAAAAAGAGGAAAGCATCGCCTTATGAATATCGCATGCAGCGCCGAGTTCATTGATGGCGTGCGTAAAATTCCATTAAAATTCGGTTCGATTACCCGCGAATGATCTGCGACCGTCGATGCACGCACGCGATTCCCCTGGGTCCGAACGTCGTGGCGAATTAAGAACATCCATTTCACGGTATTAAACACGATATTTTACGATTCTCCCGTGCACAACCAACAAATATTCGCCGACTGTATTTTTTCAGACGATACGTCCGCGTTAACGGTCCGTGTACAATTTGTCAGCCATCTATTTCCATATATAATAGCGCCCTCGCTTGGCAACGTTGCGAAATAGCTTTAAGCAGAAATGGAAAGATGTAACCGAAACACTGCTTTCGCTATTCGTTTCGCGTGTACGCGCGAACGAAACTTTTTATTGTTGGAATCTCGAATGGGCTAGCAGCTTTAACGAAATAATGCCTGGTTTTAATGACTAGTTCATGGATTTTGATTATTCTCTCGATGCTTTTTTCAACGTGATTTATTTACGCTTCCAATTCGAATTCACTCGCGATCCAGAGGGCGTTGTAGAGGCGCGATTTTAATTTCTTATCGCGGTATTGTGTATTCTTGGCTTAGTTCGTTTACGCTCGTACGTTTAGCACTGCTCGTGCGAGCTTAACAGAATGTTGAAAGTGCTCTTTAGAGATTAACGGTTGCCGCGCGTTTTCACGGTGTATACCTTGCAAATTATTTAATCGTATCACCGATTTCGCGGTGAAATGCATGCAGCTTGCATGTGACGGACAATTGACTGTCGGGTAATCAAATTTGCGACGTTTAGACGGAAACACGCCTGCTGTATTATTTAAGTTCAGCGTTATATAAAATTGTAGGTAAGAGCGCAAAGGGTAATTTAGCCGGGGCCAAGAGATGAATGAAAACAGAACTGGTTTTACAGAAATGTTTATACACAGGCATGCTTGTAATGAATTAAAGCAGCAAGTGTACCTCGTTGAATTTTCATTAATCTAAAGGGCGCGGTGTACTTTTAATTAAATTTGCTGCATTGTTGCGTTTTTATAGCAGTTCTGCTTTCCTCGCGCTATTTCAGCATCCGTATTTCCTGTTTATATCGCGCGCCCTTGTTTTTCACGCCGAAATTCGTAAAAATCGGATTTTCGATCATTCGCGTTATTGGAGTAGGTTCGAATATGATGTCGATCGCTGGAAATAAAAATTAAAAGCATCTCCGTGACTCATCGCGCGTCGGTGCTGGTCTCGCGGGTTTTTCTATGAATGAACACCAGGAATAGAATGCTGCGGTCGTGAATGAGGCAACACATTTGACTATGTACAAGGAAGTTCCATGTCGATATAGACACTTTGCCGGAGAAAGTAGTGCACGTGGTGAAGTAGTCGCGTATAGCGGTATCACACAGTAGTTTAAATGCAACCGAGCCGGTGTACTAGGGTAACAGTGAGACCGTGTTCAAGGAAACTCTAATATGCTCTGCAAAGCAATTGAGAGACAAATTAGGCGGACAGATTTCATGCTGCAGACAAAAGAACATAGCACACGCGCAATTAAACTTTCGCCAATACCAGATTAAACTTTCTGGCTATTCAGATTCGAACGTTTCAATTACGAAATCTTTTATTTCCCAGTTTTCGAATGCGAACTTTTAAAATGTCGAGTATGGACTGAAATCTTGAAGCTCTACAGCTGTATCTTAATTTTTTAATTCGAACTAATTAACATTAAAAATTGCAGATGGAAAATTTCACACCTGCGAATTCAAACTTCCAAGTTGTCACATACGGACTGAAATCTCGAAGCTCTACAGGTGTATTTCAATTTTTAAGTTCGAACCATCGGCCATTAAAAGTTGCAGATTGAAAATTTAACACCTGCAAATTCAAACTTCCAAGTTGTGAAATATGGACTAAAATCTCGAAGCTTTACAGGTTTATTTCAATTTTTAAGTTCGAACCATCCGCCATTAAAAGTTGCAAACTGATAATTTAACACTTCGTGTTCATTTTTTAAATTCGAACTAATCAATGTTAAATATTGCAGATGGGAAACTTAACATCTGCGAATTGAAACTTTCGAATGGCAAAGTACCGCCTCGGAAATCCTTAATCCCTGGCGATCTTCTCAAACTGGCCAATACAGCTTACAGAACAATCTCCACGCGAAATCGTAATAGCAACAAACACGACGC